TACACGGGTCCTCGGCCGTCACGGTCGCCGGCCGTTCAGGGTGCCAAACGGCCTCGATTTCGGGGATGGATAGAGATTCCCGCCCGTCCGAATCACCAAAAAAGAAAACCAGGCCATTACCTCCTTGCTGACAGAAAGGAGGAAAGGGAGAGCGTGTTACGTCATCACGGTCTTGTAGTCGCCGTCACGTCCCCCCGTGACGCTATCGCGTTCGGGTCACGTCCCCTCACCAGCGAAGCTCAGTCCGGAACAATCGATCGCCGAGCGTTTGCGTGGCGGCGAAGGCCGCTTGCTTACCGTAGACAGGCTGAGCGCCGAGTTCATCGTTAGAAAGGCGTGTTTGCCCAGTGGTGAAGACAGCCGAGCTCTTCGATGGAACGCGCGTTCGCTCGATGGAGAAAACAGTTGACGTAGACTAGGCGGCTGAGCGCCGAGTTCTTCGATCGAAGGCCAAGGGCCTGAGGAGGATTTCATGACAGGGAATCCGGCTGAGGAACAAGGCGGGCGATGCTCGTGAGGCCTCTCGGGCCAGGCTGTGGCTGAACATGTCTGTGCTCCACCGGGCTTTCCCCTCTGGGGTTGTCGCCACAGCTGCTGCCAGAGCGAATCTGTGGAGCCTTAGCTTGGCGGCACCGGGAAGCCCGGTGAGTACCGGGTGCCCTTCCCGATACCCACCAGGGCCTCCTCTTCTGTCCTCAGCGATGCCTCCTCATCTGTCCCCCCCACCACCACCCAGTGGATTTGCGTGTATGCCTTTGTTGGACTCTGATGTCATCGTCTCCATTTCCCCTTTCGGGGAGGCCGTTCTCCAGGTTCCATCCCTTTTCCCGTTTAAATTCCCGAGGAAGAGAGCAGAGGCGACAGGGGGGCACGTTGACTTTTCAGGATATGTGGTTGTGGCCAGTGTTCCCTCTAAGATGAGTGAGTGTGAGCTAGCTCACAGTTTGTTAGCCTCCGGCTCACACATTTTCCTCTTAGCTCAGGAAGGATGGGGCTCCAGAGCAGACTACGTAATTTATGCAGCAGCCAAATCACTGGCTCATCACAGCTTTAATGCTGTGGAGTCTTGTGAGCAGAAATTCTACTTTGTGGGCTACTGGCATTACAGTTGTGAGTGGGGGATTTGGCTGCTGCATAAATTAGTTTGCTCTGGAGCCCCATCCTTCCTGAGCTGAGTCAAAAAATGTGTGAGCCGGAGGCTAAAACACTGTGAGCTAGCTCACACTAACTCAGCTTAGAGGGAACACTGGGGCCCACACCCCCTAAATTAAGAGCCATGCCCCAAGAGCCGGCCTTGCTGGCCAGAAGGTGGGATCTCCCGCGTGGGATCTCCCTCAGCTTAGAGGGAACGCTGGCCAGGAGCTCACAAAGCATAATTTTTGCTCACAAGACTCCACAGTTTAGAGGGAGCATTGGTTGTGACGCCCCTTCCCCCATTCACACCCCCACACCATAGACATTTACAGCAAAAAAAAAAATTTTTTTTTTGCTTGGTTTTTTTTCTGCAAATGGCATTGCTTTTAATGTTACCAATTTAGACAAATGAGAAACAGCAAAACACCTTGTCTTTGGGTACTCTAATCTACAACTTTGCCAAGAGCTGAAAGCAAACAAATAGTGAAGGAATAACAGCCAAGACTGTATGAAGAGAAATGGAAAGAAAAGAGAGGGGAAAAGTGAAAGAAAGTATGAGGAGTTGGCCACTACAGAACTAATAGAAGTATCTGGCTTCAGTATTAAAAGGGTACAGCAAGATTCTACCAAATAAAAGTGTGACTTTCCGGATTTCCTCTGCTACTAGAAGAATGATCTCAGGCATTCCTTCTACCATCCCCATAATGAAAGATGAGAGTGATGATTGTTATTTATATCCTGCTCTTCTATCCCCCCAAAATGGATCATCAGGGCAGATTATAACGTTGCAATTCACCCTAGTGAGTTTATGTCACAGGTGTGTTTGTCGAGACTCTTTGGATTACAAATTAAAATGATTACTTTTCAGAATATTGTATTTTTAAGGGTGATTAGAATTGTGAAAGGTATTACATTTACTTTCTACTTCTGGAAGATAATATAGTTGTTTTCTCCCAGGTATTTAGAAGGAATGCATGTAACCAGTCTGGCGCATCAGTTTCATTACCAGAGGAACAGAAGGCACGTTTGCAAAATGGACCTGATTTACAGGACTTTGTATCTGGGGAACTTTCAGACAAGAGTAATTGGGCAAAATATAAAGGCAGTTTAAAGCGGCAGAAAGGAGAAAGGTAATTAAAAGAAGATTCTTTTTTATTCTGCTTTCCAGTACTTTCATAACCAGCTGCTATTTCAGGCTATTGGCATCATAATCCAAGGTTTCCCTCATCTAAATGAAATGCTACTTGTTTACCAGCTGTTCCTCTGCTTAAACAGAATGTCAGCTTTTTAAGAAGCGAGCTTCTTAGGGTGAAAACAAAATGAGATTATATACAATCAGGTGATAATCTGAACAAAAATTGCTGTTGTGAACTATGAGAAAGTTCATTGCTACCAGATGTCTAATTTTTAGCTGTCTGCCATCTTCATATAGACTGTGCATTGGTGTAAAAAGTGCAAGAAACAATCAGCGTTTAGAAATCTTCAGAAACTCTTTGTCTATCATGAATTCTTTGTCCAATTTACATGGAAGGTTCCACTGCAGTCAAACAATAAGATGAGAGAGAATCAGGGCTCTAGTCGGGGGGGAGCTCTCAGGTACGGAGCTCCGGAAGAGAACCTCTAGGGGGCGGGGCGGTCACGTGGTGAAGCCCCGCCCCCTTCTTTACCCCGCCCTCTGCTTCGATCCTCATTCCGTTTGGGAATGAGGATGAAGCAGGAGGGTAAGTAGCCGGGCCTTCTGACACACTTCCGGTGATGTCAGGGGGTGTGGCCTTCTGTCACTTCCGGTGATGTCAGGGGGCGTGGCATATGCAAATAAGTTATGCTAATGAGTTATGCTAATGAGCTCCGGCAGCTCTTTTTCTACAACAAGACCCCTGGAGAGAATAATATTTTAAATTAAATATATTGTTCATAAGGGAAAAATTAATTTATAGTTTGTAAACAATTAAGCAGTCTAATGAAGCAAAATAAGTATCGTACTGTTTTTGTTTTTAATATTGTTTTAGACTACGACTTCCTCCATGGCTGAAAACAGAGATCCCAATTGGAAAGAATTACAACAAATTGAAGACTACATTGCGGAATTTAAATCTCCATACGGTAAATCTAGTGCCTGTTAAATTCTGGGTAATTATGAGTTGTGATTTAGGCCGCACACTTATTTAGAAGCAAGTTCTACTGCAGTTAGTGGGATTTACTTAGAAGTAAATGGAATTCCGTTTTTAGAATCATAACGAAATTAAATGTGATTCTGTGATTCTATAGGGATGCTCCAGGCTGATGGGGGTTGGACTAGATGGCCTGTGTAGATCCTTCCAACTTTGTGATTCTATGATTCTATAACATAAGAGCCAAGTTTTTTCCCCCAGGGTGGATGGATCCTGTACTTGTAATAGTGGTTTATATTGCTGTAGCCACTGCAGCAGTGTATTCCTAGTAAGGCTGTTGCTGTTAAAACCCACCCCTGAGCATCTTGGGTCCACAGCATGCTTGTACTAGAATGCATTCTTCAGATGTGAAAGGACAGACAACATGTGGCTTTTGGGACCTGTCTGTTAGTTCTGACCCTTGAAGTATGACATATATGACATTGCAAGGGGCGGAGAAAGGGGAATGAGTGCCAGCCCAGCAGGGCAATTCAGGTGGTTGTTCTGCTAGGTTATGACACTGCATTGGTATTGTGACCTCTCATAACATCATCGTTGTTGTAGCAGTAATATTTGTCTTAAAAAGGCTAAAAGGGCACACATGTTCTTGTTCCACTGTCAACAGTTATTTCATTTTTACTGTAGGTATGTGAGGAAGCACGTTGTCCAAATATCGGTGAGTGTTGGGGAGGAGGAGAGTATGCTACTGCTACAGCAACTATAATGGTAAGCTGACCGCTGGCAATGGAATGTTTTATTAGAATAAGAACCTTTCTTTTCTTCCATCTATCATTAGACGATGGTAGACTATGCTCTCGAGCAGCAGAGATAGCTATGCTTTAAAGAATGAAAGGACCAAAAAAATGGTTACTGCTAAAGTAATTTTAGGATCCTTATCACAAAATAAAAATTACAATGCATCGGAGATTGAAAGTTCGGGATGGCAAGCTAGATGAGGAGTAATAAAAGATGCTCTAGGATCCTCCAAGATCAGGCGCTCAAAAAGAATATGAAAGGAGGTGTCGATTCTACCTAAAGGGCAAGGACAAAGATGGTCAGAATATGGAATATTCAAAAATCTACCCTAGTGAACCGGAGAAGAATTACCATTAAGCCTAGCCAGGCAAAAAAACCCCAACCACCTTGCTTAGGGAGGGATAGCTAAATAATGTACATAAACAGAAAAGTTTTCGGGGGAAGAATACCAAAATATTGAGAGGAGCAGACACAATGTGCTCTAAACATAGTACTCAAATAATCAAGATTTGTAATATGCTTCTTAATTTAGCAACAGGTTTTCATCAGATCAGGTGCTATGCCAAGGGCCAGCAACTGTTCATCAAGAAGTTTCATCCAAAAGGATCCAAAGGAGTCCAATTCCAGTACCTGCAAAAGACCCCCTCACTGAAAACCTGCTTAAGCCTTAGAAAAAGTGCTTAATCTGACTTTATTGGATGCCAATTTACATTGAGTACTTCAAAATAAATTAGATGTAAACAAGATATCCAAATATCTGTATTCCTTGGCTTGTTCAAGCATAAGACCATCCAAGGGCCCATTAAAAGAGGGAAATTCCTTTTTTCTTAGAGAAGACCATAATTTTAGGCTGCTTATTGTTGATATACAAACCCTCTTTAGAACAGTAATGTGAAAAAATTCTTAATGGTCTTTGGAGTGTGAATGTATACAAAAACTTCTCTGCTGTGTTTATTCCTGGGCACTGTACCAGAGCAGCATACAGTAGAAGACATGGGAAGGAATTACTTGTCTTCGCTATGTCCTGGAAAGCGGTGGGCTACTCTGGTCACGTAATCAGTGTTCTAAGGGCTCGTTCTTAATTGATATGAGCAGTATGGTTAAAACTCCCGTGTAGTCACAGATTGTGCTTGGAATACACTCGTTAGACATGGGGTGTCTATGACCAGGTTCCTAGAGAGGTATGATACTGGCATGAGGAATAACCACATCATCCACCCCTCCTGTGTGATCTTTTTATTGGACTATGTTGCCAGAGCAGTACACTCTCTCTCTGAGCTAAACCACTCTGCCTTAGTAACAGAAGCACAGTCCTTAAGTCAGATTGCAGAGCTGGTGCTACTCCTAAACTGTATTCAGTGTCATTCATTTAATGGGAGCTTAAGAATAGAATTTCACAAACCACAGCTGAGAAGATTTTTGGTGCCCTGCCCTACCTGCTGCTTGGATTCTGCTCAGGGTCTCAGTGTACCATTTGTGATGGCAGCCACACTAGGAAACAGGAGGTAGGCTACGGGGTTGTGCACGTCTTCAACTCTGTGCATCAGATGTTGCTTAGACGTGTGCAGTGTAAAGTGAATTACTTTCTCATCTGCTGGCTGGCCACTAAGATTTAAAAAAAAAAAAATTAAGTGTAGAAAGTTCAGTGATCTTTCTCGAACAACATAGGAGTTTCCTTTCCTATTCCAGCTAATGGGGGATACGTGCACAAGAGGTTGTCGGTTCTGCTCAGTCAAGACAGCCAGAAGTCCTCCTCCGTTAGATCCCGAGGAACCATATAACACAGCAAAAGCAATAGCTGAATGGGGTCTGGATTATGTTGTGCTGACTTCTGTCGACAGGGATGGTTAGTAAGTGTTCATATTTCCCCCCCAAGACCAAATGTATGTTTGTATGTATGTAAAAGTGTCAGCATTTAACGCTTAGTTAAGATACTCGTAAGTCATGCAAACGAGTATTAATTGCCTGCTAAATTATAATGGTGATAAAAAAAATAAATAAGATGGATACAAACTAAATAAAAGGGGAAAGAACTCTTGTTACAGTTTCTCTGTGGCTTCTATTCCAATAGAAAAGTTGCTACAAGGGAATTTTGGATGTTTCCATTGCAGTTCCATGAAGACTAGAAATAGCTGTTGAACAATATAAAGTAAATTCTGATAAACAGGTTGTTAGGGTTACCAGGTCGTACCTGGCACCCAGTGGGGGCTCCCAGGTCCTTCTCGGGGTCTTCTGCCCCGCACACTTTGAAGTAAAAAAAACTAGTGTGTCACCCCTCCCTGACATTGGCGATGCAATGACGTCACTTCCGGTGATGTCATTGCATCAGGGACATCGCACAGTTGTTTGGGGGTGGGGTTTCCCCCGCCGGCCAGCTAGCAGGTCAGAGCCCCATGCACCCCTCCCCACCATACAATGTAGGGCTCGGTTGAGCAGCGCATCACCTTGCATCTGAATGCATCTGTATGCCTACTCATTCTCCAGCGGTATGTGCATTTCCCAATCCCTGCTAGTACCTCGCCTGGTGAATGAGGCACGTGCATGAATTGCCTTTTGCTGGGCTGATCTTTATTTATGGAAATGGCTGCCCAGTTATTTTTGTGCTTTGATATATTTTTTGTGATCTTCCATGGATGGAAAGGTAGCAAAAAAATTTTTGGACACAAAGTCAATACTTCTTTTGCATGAAAATTAACTCCAGTGTACTGTTCTTAGATATTCCTGATGGTGGAGCAGCACACTTTGCAAAAACAGTATCACACTTAAAAGAAAGGTATGTGTGAATATGCATACATTTAAATGTAGGCCTTTTAAAAAAGATTAATACAGCATTATTTTTCTGTGATGTATACTGTGCATATTTAGTTTTTAACCCTTGCTTTTCAGGAATCCGAAAATTCTAGTGGAATGCTTAACCCCCGACTTTCGAGGAGATCTTGAGGCTGTAGAGAAAGTTGCTGTGTCGGGACTAGATGTATATGCTCACAATGTGGAGACAGTTCCAGAATTACAGAGGTGATGAAAGGTGATAAATATGAAGATAGGTTTCACACAGTGGAATTTTAAAAAAAGATGAAAAGGGCACCTCAAGAATAAATAAAGGAAGATAAATTAAGGAAGAATCTAATTGTCACGGTTTCTCTCTCACCCCAGTCCAGGGATGGGAGCTAAACCGAGCATTCAGCAACAATTAAACAAACCCCAGGAGAATGTCTGTACACTCTCCAGGCTTTACCAGTAGTCACTGCCACCAGGATCTCTCACAAAAGGTCCCCACCAAAGATCAGGAGCAGAGATCCCAACTCGTGCCTGGTCTATAGGACTTAGCAACTTTACCAGCTCTGTACCAGGGCTGCAAACAATTAATTAACACAGTGGTAGCCTCCTTAGGCGAACGGCTTAGACACAGGATTCAGTCATAGAAATCAGGTTGCAACAGAGGAAATAAGTCCAGATAATATTGATTATATATTATCTTTATTGTTCAGATGATGAAACAGAGGAAGTTGTACGGTGGTCGGGTTAAGCAGGTGAAGAAAGGGAATAAGATAACGAGGATGGAGATTATTTATATGCTTTCAATGTTTAATATGATTTCTAGAAAGAGGAGAATATAAGGAAAATTAAGTGTTAAGATATGTGTAAAATACATGGATACATGTACACTAAATAAAATATTAATAATTTAAAAAAGAATACATTGGTGGTTGGCACTGCCTGTTTCTGTTTACAAAAGGGGTCTTGCGTGTGGAAGTGGGATCTCCCAATCTGAATAGGATTTCTTTGTTGTACACAGCCAGATCCCATACAGGTTCTTTGTGTAAATAGACAAGGCTCTGGATCCGCTTTTGTTTTCTGTGCACATTAGGATCCTGCAAAATGTTGCACGTGCAGAGCATTATTTCCCTGCACATTTAGAAGAGGATTCTGTGTATGGCATAGCTTTGCTAAGAATTGCCTTCTATTTTTGCTGCACATAAGTCTGAGATTCTCACATTTTTATCGTGATGTGAGGCTTCCACAAAGTGCTCCTAGGATGCCCCTTCCCTGAGGAAAGGAAAGCAATCTACACTGATGGTAATTCATGTGGATTGCACTGCAAAAGTAGTTCAGCAAACGTAGTTCAGTAGTTTCTCTCCCCAGACATAAAGGGTGCACATTTTGATTCCTATAAGTCACGTTCAGTGCAATCCTAAGAACACTTTCCTTGAGTAAACCCCAGAATCCAGAGCAGGACGCTCTGTAGACCTGGTCTGGGTTTCTTTCTTTGGCTGGAGGCTTATGAGCAAAACTGCAGGTTTGGCATGCTGTGTGTATTGATTACTCACACTAAACCATTTGCTTGTTTTCATGAGCAAAGCAATAATTTATAGGCATTGTCACTATAAACAGCAACATGAATATCAGTTATCACTGGGAGTTTATGTTCTCTGTGCCATTTTTCTGAATGTTTCTTTCTCTGCCTTAGGGCAGGGATGCTGTTTCACTTGCCTGAGATGCAAAGTTTCTGCTAGAAAGCTCAGAGAAACCATATATAGGCAGGAAACTGCAGGGGGGAAGTGTGGCTGTTTGTCCCGGGGCAAACTAACGCGCGGTTAAGCGATCAGACCTCCTGTGGAGGTACCGTGGAGGTTCCGTGGGTAGGGAGAGGTGCCGATCACAGGACACGCCTGCGCGCAACGAAGAAGCGCGTGCTGCGGCAAACTGGTTTTCTTTTTTTGTGTACACGACGAATGCGCATGCTCCGTTGGGTGGGTGTGTGCATCCACGGAGACTTGGGGGAAAAAAACCCTTTTTCGCAAGGGGACATGGGCGGGCGCCGGATGCCACCGGAAACGCGATCAGACGCCCGCCCTTGCCCCGCGGTTTCCGGAAACTAGTACCTCCGAGGTACTAGTTTTTTGCTGTGTGTTTTCGGCAGGAAGCCTTGGTTGTGCCACGGAAGCGCTACGCTTCCCAGATGTGCTGGTGAGATTGCGCCCGGAAACTCCGCCTGTCTTCCGTCTCTCTTGCGTGGCTAATGTTCCGTGTGACCGCAGCCATAGATAGAGAACTGAAGAACCAGGGAAGTAAAAGATACTGGGTTTATGAATAGGCAGCTTTTGATCATATTTATTATTTTTGTTGTTGTTGCTGAAGACAAGTTCGAGATCCTCGAGCCAATTTTGACCAATCCCTGAATGTTCTGAAGCATGCTAAGAAGGTGCAACCTGATGTAATTTCAAAAACATCCATCATGCTGGGCCTGGGTGAAACAGATGAACAAGTACTCACAACCTTGAAATGTAAGTCAACTTCCCATGTGTGCAGCTACTTGGAAGCAATCGCCAGTAAAGTCAGTGAGCCTTTCCTCTGAATGAATGTGCTTAGGATCAGGATGCTAAGCAATGCCATACCAAGGTATCCTTTTTATCTTTTATAGTATTACGTGACGCAGATGTTGACTGTTTGACCTTAGGACAATACATGCAACCCACAAAACGTCACCTAAAGGTAAAAATGTCATATTTTCGCATTCAAAGTAGGTTATTATGTGAAAATCACTCTTTCTACTTGATCGCCATTGGCTCATGGGATGTCTGCACCAGCTGCCATTCACAAGGGATGTCCAAAACCTTGTCTCTGATACATACTAGGTTCCTATAAATGTTCTGTTAAATGTTTCTTTTAGTGGAACTGTATAAAAAGAGAGGACCTACTTGGTGCAATCTATTACCTACTAATAAAGGCTCTTCTAAAAAACTTTTCTGTGAAACTGTTGACTCACCTCAGTGCTCACCCTCTATGGAAGCAAACAGTACAATCCTAAACATTACTCAGAAGCATGAGGAGGGGTAGCTTGTATTCATTAAGGCCAGAAAAAAAAAGATGTGCTTCTGGATTACTAGATCATGAGTATGGCATTTCTTCTTTTCCAGGTGGATGAATATATCACACCTGAGAAGTTTAAATACTGGGAAAAAGTAGGAAATGATCTTGGATTTCATTACACTGCCAGTGGGCCTCTTGTGCGCTCTTCATACAAAGCAGGTGAAATGTTGGTTCTTATTTAAGACTTAACTTCTGTCCCCCTACCCCCAAATCCTGGTAAGAAGACTACATCTCTAGGGACCCAGAAACCATATTTCTGTTTTGGCAGTTTAGCTGAAGAGTATTGGTTATAGAAAACATTGCCTATCCCTTAAGAGTGTGCTTGAGCATTTAATCGCATGTTTTAAGTTGTAAAGGGTGTGTCCATTGTACAAATTGCATCCATGTCAGTGGCTCTCCCATGCAAGCACCATTGGGCAGAAGCAGTGCATTGTGAATTGTGGCCAGAATGAAAATCCAGATCTAACTTATTGTGTGTAGTTTATCATTTTAGCCATCACATGCAAATTTCTGATTCCTTTTGCCTTTTAAGTCCTGTTATGTGCATTATACGTCTTGGCAATGAAATATCCGGTGAACTTAAAATAGGATCTATATGCAATCACAGTAATTTTCTAAGCTGTTTAGCAAATGGTTCTCTAACAAGTGGGGGGGGGGGCCCTGCAGGATTTACAGGGGAAAATCCACACACACACACTTTCTCTCTGGACCTGGTGTGGCTCCTGGGCTCCCTGCAGTCACCACTGGGCCTGCTGTCCTCTCCCCTGCCACTTGCAGTGGCTGGCCTGCAGCTGCTCCAGGCGGGCCTGCCGAGTCTCCCCCTCATAGGCACTCTTGGTGGTTCACCCAAAGCTGCTCTGGGCTGTCCTGCCAGGGCTCCCCCCTCCCCCCTTGCTGGTTTTGGCAGGTTGCCTGGTGCAGCTCCAAGCGGGCCAGACCCGGTGGTGGCTTCCAGACTCCACCCCTGCAGCCACCACCAGGATTGTTAAAGGTAAGTGTGGTGTCTGCATGTGCATTGACGGGGGGGGGGATTTTTTTTGTTAGATTTTTCTGCAAACCTAGAGGGTCCCCCAAGTTTGCAGAAACATCCATTTAATCCAAGTATGGCCCCAATTTGCATATATGTATCCACAGATGGGGGGCACACTTAGGAATCAGATATACAGATAATGGGAGTTTTAGCATCCACAGTGGACAATATAAAAGCCGGAATGAATTAAATAAACGAATTGATAGCCGAAGAAGGCAAAGTTAAAAGACAAGGTCCAAGTTGTGGTTGTTGTTTTTTAAGTCAGTCTGTTTTCTCGCTGTGGCGCAATTTTAAAGCTGTGCCAGGTTGGCAGAGACTGATTTGCTGCTTGATTAAAACTGATGCTCATTGCATTTTCGCCTGTGTTTTAGGTGAGTTTTTCTTGAAAAATTTAGTCGAGAAGAGGAAGACAAAAGTGATCTAAAACAACACATGCCTGGAGGAATTGCCAGTACTGCTTTAACGTATAGTATTCCCGGTGGCAGCATCACGAAGAAACTGACTGATACGCATTCAGCTGGCTTTTGCGGACCTCAGAATTAAACCTAGCCTCGAAGTATCCAGATTATCGTTGAACTCTTGCATGCTTTAATACAGTAAAAATATAATATGTATTCAAATAACAATGTCAAATGGCAGAACCCAACCAAAGGTAAATGCTGTAAATTCTGGAAGAAGATATTTAAATGCAGATCTAACCTGTTCATTCAAATAAGACTTAAAGCACTTACATATGTCTGGATCATTATCGCAGAGTCCCTATCATAATTCGTGCCTTTTGAGATTTATCTGGTACTTGTGCAGTGTAAAAAGTCTGATGCTGTGTAGACACTGCACGGTGAACACAGTTAGATCTTACTGCCAGATGTGACTAAGAGTGGATGCAGTGATGGTGTGTATTGTCCTGGCAGTGTGAGCCCATTCAGAACCTTTCACTGTGCAGCAGGAAGGGGCCAGTGACACGATGCCCATAATTAAATGCAGTTGGTTCATGCATAGATAAAGGTTGCACATGAAGCCAGTTCTTCATTGGATCTTTTCTCTTGAGCAGTCTATCAGCCAGAAAAAAATCACAGGTTTTCTTTGCAGCAGCTCCTGCTCCTAAAGGCACACCATTTTTAAATGTCAAAAGAATGGCATATTTTAGTGATGCAAAGTTTTCTTCAGCATGAGAGCACATTCACTACCTTGAAGTTGTAGGCGACATGGAAGGATGGGGACCAACATACGATCGTATTATCAATTCAGGTTTCTACCTCTCTTTCACTCCCCCCACGACCACCACCACTCTGCCATAAGCAGCAAGAGTAGCAAGGTGATGAGACCACTCCAAAAATGCATACAAACAAGGTATGGTTTGAAAGCCTGTAGTAAATTAGCAGTACTTACACTGCTTAACAGTACTTACACTGCTTAACAGGAGTAGCAATTTTGGCACAGCTTTTTTTTGGTAGTCAAAAGGGAGGACCCAATTCCGTCTTCTACCCATGGAAAAAGGGTGAAGGGCGAGTAGCCCTTTGCATATCTGTATGAAGCATTATAACCGGGTTCTTTTGTCCATATGCACTTACAGGGCTTTTTTTGTAGAAAAAGCACAGCAGGAACTCAGTAGCATAACAGGCCACACCCAACAGCAGACATGCATTAGCATATTAGGCCACAACCCTGACAGAGCAGCTCATATTATGCCACACCACACATTACCAGAAGTGTGGTCATCCAGCCACACCCACCTTTTGCTTCTTATTCTGTTTACCTTGTTTGTTGTCAAAACCCAGGGCTTTTTTTTGTAGCAGGAACGCTTTGCATGTTAGGCCACACACCCCTAATGTAGCCAGTCCTAATTTTTCACCACTGCAGCACACTGGATTGACACTTCCCTTGACCTATCCGCTACAACCCCAAGATCTGTTTCCCTCTCAGTCTCAGCAAGTTGACCTCATTAGCCTATAGTTGAAGTTGGGATTCTTTTATCCCAATGTGCATCACCTTCCGCTTCATTGGCCACGTTGTCGCCCACTCGTCCAGTTTGTGGAGGTCTTCTTGGAGCGCTTCACAGTCAGCCTTGGTTTTCCCCATCCTGAATAATGCTGTGTCATCTGCAAACCTGGCCACCACACTTCTCACCCCTAGTTCCGGATCGTTTATGAATAAATTAAATACTAGCAGTTCGAAAGCAAGAAATTGCAGGTAGATAAATAGGTACCCCTTCGGTGGGAAGGTAACAGCGTTCAGTGCGCCTTGGTGTTTAGCCATGCTGGCCACATGACCACGGAAACGTCTTCGGACAGCGCTGGCTCTTCGGCTTGGAGACGGAGATGAGCACCGCAACCCTAGAGTCGGATTCGACTGGCTTTCGAGCAGGGGAACCTTTACCTTTACTTACCAGTGCCAATCAATGTTCCCTCTAAGCTGCAGAGCCTTGTGAGCAAAAATGCTACTTTGTGAGCTACTGGCATGAAAGTTGTGAGTGGGCGATTTGACTACTGCATAAATTAGTTTGCTCTGGAGCCATCCTTCCTGAGCAAACACAAAAATGTGTGAGCCGGAGGCTAAAAACCTGTGAGCTAGCTCACACTAACTCAGCTTAGAGGGAACACTGGTGCCAATACCGATCCTTTTGGGACACCACTACATACTTACATTGTGAGAACGGTCCATCGATTCCTACTCTTTGCTTCCTGTTATTTAATCAGTTTTAATCCATAAGCGAACCCATCCTCTTGTCCCACGACTGCTAAGTTTACTCAAGTGTCTGGTGAGGTACCTTGTCAAAAGGCTGGAAAGTCCAGGCATAGAATGTCTACTGGGTCACCGTAATCTACATTCTTGTTCACTTTCTCAAAAGAGTTCCAAAAGATTGGCGAGGCAGCACTTCCCTTTGCAGAAGCCATGTTGATTTTCCCTCAGCAGGCTTTGTCCCTCTGTGTGCCTAACAATTCTATCTTTGAGTACAGTTTCTACTAATTTGCCTGGGACGGACATTAGGCTGACTGGCCTGTAATTTCCTGTTCCTCTCTGGATCTCCTTTTAAAAATGGGTGTAACATTTGGTACTCTCCAGTTTTCTGGTACAGCGGCTGTAATTTAGTGATAGTTTGCATATACAGGTTAGCAGATCAACTATCTCACCTCTGAATTCCTTAAAAACTCTCAGGTGTATGCCATCAGGACCTGGAGACATGTTGGTTTTTAATCCCCCCAGTAGGTCTAGAACTTCATCTCTGGTTACCTCAATTTGGCTGAGTTCTTCAGCCTCCTTTCCTGGAAATAGGGGCTGTTGCACGGGTACATGCTCCACACTTTCCACAGTGAACACAGGAGCAAAAAAATCAGAGCTTCTTTGCCATTTTCCCGTCTTCCTTTATTCCATTGTCCTCCAAAGACCCTGCTGCTTCTCTGGCTGGTTTCCTGCTCCAGATATATTTTTGAAAATGTGTAGTTTGTCTTGATGCTTTTAGCAACCTACTCCTCAAAATCTATTTTGGCGTGCCTAATTATTGACTTACATTTCTTTTGGTCCCTCCTGTTCAATTCATTGGGGGCAGACCTTACAAGAAGCCTTTTTACTTTTTATAGCTTGTCTTCTGTTGTTAATCACTCATCCTTCTTTTAGACTTGGCAATGCCTTTCCTAACGTGTAGAACGCATTCTATTTGGGCTTCAATTAGTATGGTTTTAAATAGCTTCCAAACATTCTCTAGGGGTCTGACTCTCTTGTTTCCCCTTCAGCTTCCTTTTTATGATTTCCCTCATTTCTGTAAAGTTCCCTTTTTTGAAATCAAATGTTACAATTTTGGACTGGGGGGTAGCTTTCCATTGAACTGAATGCTGAACTTAACAGCATCATGGTCACTGTTCCCAACTGGTGTAAGGACCCGTACATCTCTCACCAGGTCTTGAGACCCACTCAAAACCAAGTTCAAACCCACCAAGCCCCTCTGGTTGGCTCTGTGACCACCTGTTCCAGTGCAGAGTCATTTACGATGTCCAGGAATCTCATTTCTACAGCATGACTTGAGCATGTTTACCCAGTCAATGTGAGGGTAGCTGAAGTCTCCCAGTATAACAACATTATCTGCTTTAGTCACCTCCCTTATTTCCTTCTCCATCTCAAGATCACCCCCACTTTTAAGGAACCCTTGGGGCCCATACCGTTTCTGTCGGGGAGTTAACTCCCGATGTTTTCTAATTTATTTGATACTATGCCCTCTTTGATGTAGAACACAACACCTTCTCCAACCCGTCCCTCCCTGACCTGCCCATAGAGCTTATACCCAGTATAGATTTTCCCCATTCCACCAAGTTTCTGAGATACGTACTGTATCTAAATTGTCATTGAACACCAAACACTCCAGCAACACAGCAGGTAAATATCAATGAGCACAAAATTTATTGTTTGTAGTCACAGTGAGGTAGCAAGCATGATTAATATACATCATTTTGTTCTGCTAGAGTCATAGGACCTTTGTTTTAGCATCCGCTGTCAAAGCAGCAAGGGAAAAACACTTTCAGTGGTTTGGCTTTTTTAGGCCAAGTATTTCCACTTAAGCTCATGTAGACATTATTTGTGGGGGGACCCCAGGAACAGCAGTGGGCCAGCTCTTGTGCCAAAGACCTGAACCCCCTCTGAATCAGGAAAAATGGACAGGGCCATTGGTTTGAGGCAATGATATTTTTTTTTTGAAGGACCATTTTGGAGGGTGGCACTTACAGCTAATCACTGCCATCTGATATTCCTAAAGGTGAGAAGGCAGGGAAGCATTAAAAGACCATAATACAAGGGGGGGGGAGATTACACAGCCAAACATGCCATATTGCTTGGAATTCCACTTCCTGCCCAGTAGCCTAGATGGGACGATGGTGGCCCTCAGCCTTTTTCTACCAATATCTACACCTCTCACTTTGTTGTTTTAATGAGACCTGCTGTTTGGTTCGTTCGAGCATTAGTGCTCAAACGGCAGTGAGAAAGATGGCAAAATGAAAGAAAATGGGTCAGATGGTTACATTTTTTTATTCCACAATTCCTCCAAGGAGTTCAGGGCAAGGTACATTGTTTTCTCCTTCTCCACTTTATCTTAAGAACTTTGTAATGTGGTTTAGGCTGAAGAGTATGTGACAGACCTAAGGAAACACAGTGAGTTTATGAATGATGGGAGATTTGAAACACAAGTCTCCCCACTTTTAATACAACATTCTAACCCCCCTCCCTGGTTAATGGCGAATGGCCATTGCAGGCATCTGAACAGCCCTTCTACACATCTGACGGTGGAACACGTTACACTTGTTTGTTAAATCTGTATAAAGGAACAGGCTGACCAGCAGTTGGCTTGCTTTCTGACTAACATTCAGGTAGGTTCCAGAATTCCTAGATGCAATTGTGACCCACTGGAACCAATGGAAGTTTGCTGGAAGTGGAATCATTCTTTCGCTTCTAATGCGTTCTTGCAAATAAGGCTGTAAGAGTTACCAGCCCCTATTTGTTTCACATCTCAGCTGCCTAAATGAAAAACAACGCCAGTTTTCTCCCACTTTACAAAAGCTTCCTTGCCAAGAGAATTCTCCTTTGCAACAGATACCTAGTTGAGTGGGTATGTATCAACTTTGTCTAAGGAAGGCTAATCACACAAGTCACAGGAACTGACGGAGACGGGTTAAGAACAAATGGGACTCCACATACAGCTCCTCCTCTTCCTTTAACGTGGCTCTTGCTTTTGAAAAGCCTGCACTGAGGGCGTCTGCAGATGCTGCCTCCATCACAGTCACCGGTGTTTCCAACAGGCTCTGGCCATTTACGAGCTCTTTCACTACTGTGACATCTAGTTAAATACACATTGCTTTTGAAAAGGGGCCTGGGAACAGCCCGGTCACTAAGCGTGCTGATAGAGCCTGCCTCAAGCAGCAAAGTGAAAGGCATTGTTGAAGAGGTAGCGCTGTCATTAAGGTTTCCCCCCACTGGGGTGGGGGGTGCAGTCTGGATTTTCTGGTACCA